AATGATTGTTCGGAAATTCAAGGCGGAAGATCCGTCGAGAAAAGTTTTCACTGAAGAAATATCAGAAAAAAGGGATGAATACCATTTGGGCAGTGTCGGTTTCATTGTGGATGGATCGATTTTTCTGATCTTATTAAGATCAGACACACGACCTTCGCCTGCTTCTGCCGTCCTTCTCATTATGGTGATTGTACTGGTCTCAAAGCTTCACACAGGACCTGGGAACTGAACTTCACATCTCGGAGATTGGCGGTGGGGGTGGGCGGCGTACTGGATTTGAACAGGAGGTGTCTTTTCGTCGTGGTTATTTCTATTTGGACAACTGCGTTTGCTAGTCTCGTTGTAAGGTATGATTACAACTGTCACGAAAAGGTAATGTCTCACCTAAGGTTCACCGCTGTCAATTTAAGATGAGGTACGCCGCAACCCCTACCCCATCTCCGGGATGTGGAGTGTACTTTATTGGCTGAAACCACTCTTCCGATAGAAACCATACCCTGGATTCATTGGATGCCCGTATGCACCCCAAATATTGCGTACTTGATTATGCCGGAATCTTCCATATTTCTGATGCTTTTCGGTTTCCATATTTGGCCTGAACCAGGCGCTATATCGATGACTAAAACTATACCTTGTTCTCTCTGTTTCCTTCGTACTGCGCTTTGAACTAGAGATCAACAGAGTGCAACTGGGATACACTGTGTGAAAATAGTGTCGAATGGCGCTGTATTTTGGCTGCGTCGCGAGGACATGTGGAAGCAGCGTGGCCGATATGGAATTTTCTTGGAAGCAATGTTCGCGATAGGCATGTAATCGCCTCTGTCATACTTGCGGAAGCCTTCCCAGCGACCAACAAAACTCCAGCTTCTCTCTCTTGCCAACCTCGGATTCTTAGTATGTAAGTCTTTCAGTTGTGTTGTTGTGCCTTGCGAGGTTGTTGTATGCTAATCAACCTCGTAGGCACACAACAACTGAAAGACTTACAGCGTTTCGAGCGTCCGTCAGTGTCAGCAAATAGCAAAATATAGATATCGTTCTAGCGAATGGAGCATTCACCAGCCTCCACCAGCGACCATCAGCGTCTCGGGACGAGGGAATTACGGATATCGATTCAGCATCTACCACCAGCGGTCAGGAATATAAAGTGTGGGAAGTGGGAGGGTAACATACTGCTGGTAGAGTATGGGAAGCAGGGCACAGCATTCGATGGGGATTTTGGTCGAGCCTGTACGACCCCCCCCCCTTTTTTTGGGGGTTCGGTACGACCCCCCCCCTTTTTTACTGTTTGACGTTACATACTTCCTGAAATTAGATATAAACAATTAGATATAAAAAATAGATATAAACAGTCTACCTAAGTTGAGTTGATTTACTTATGTGCAAGCGTTTGTAATCAAAAACAGGATGAGTAGCATAAACACAGCATAAATGCGAGTTAAATGAGACTATGACTAAAACGAAAAAACAAAAAGCGGCATAACAGAAAAAAAACAAAAAAGAAATGCGCTAAAAATGCATTAACCCGAGATGTGGAGTACGGTAGCAGAAATGCGTATGTAATTGCAGCCGTGACTGGAGATTATTCGTCAATTTTAGCACTGGAGCGCGAACTTTCAGCAAAGTGGGGTGTCTTTGAAGGACCATAACTTCCTCAAAAGCGGACCTGTGGGGAAGAGGAGACCGTATTCGTGTAGAGGAAGGTTTGCACTTCCTAAAGGTACTGAAACGTTCTATTAAAGCGTCGGCAAAAATCACAGAGAATCTTGCCATAAGGGATTCGACTTTGGGTGAAGTGATTTCAACTGAACAGGTTTGAATCGATATATATTTTTTTTCTTTGTAACTCAACATTTCACAAATCTGAGAACGTTCGAGTGTTTAAGATTTTCTCTTTCTAAACCTCTTGAGCTGTTTCTGAAGTTCTCGGGATTCATGAGATTCTCTTATGCGATTTCTGGTGGCGAACGACTCCCAGCTGCGCGAAAAAACCCGTTTCCTGTGTACCGTTTCAAGTGAGCGTGTTCGAATAACCAGGAATGCATGAAAAACGTATCCTCTGGTGGAGCAGGAGCAGAATATGGTTCGTTTAGCGCCGATCACGCTGACTTTGGATGCGCCGCGCACTGAGGTCCGCGCAGAGGTGAAGGGATGGTGAATTTGTGCGTAATGTCTGTCCACGCGAGTAAATGTGTCTATAGGATTCAGGGAGATCCATGGCGAAGCCTGTGCACTTGTTTACAGTGTTTTCCCTTGCGATGATGGATGATGGAGCTTGTCTGTGTCGACGCCGCCAGATGTGTGCTCCGCAATAAGTGCCTCCGATAAGGAGACCAACTGCTGGAAAACGTCTGGTACGAACGATATGGTAGTCCTGAAAAAAGAGGTTGGCTCAGCGCCAAGCGTAATCGCGGACACGCCCCATCATCCGCAACGAACCAGAGTATGAGTTGTACTGTTCAGTCATCAACGGACTTACGAGATAATGTCGACTTATTATAATAATAATTTCAGTTATTTCGGATTAATTGATGGTTGAAAGTTTTCTACTATTTCTTATTATCATTATCGCAGTTCTAGCGAGTTCGTACTCTGGACTCAGCACACTGAGACCTTTGCGCTGCTCGATACTGGCTACCGCCCTCATTACGACCCCCCCTCTCCTGGCGGCCAAATACGACCCCCCCCCATGGGGATTCCTCAACCAAGGGGAGGTTGCCCTGAATGGGAAGTTAGAGGAGAGACAGCCTGGAGTTAGGGCGTGGTAAAATTGTGATGTGTGCAACCGACCATGCTCACACAAACTGGACTCCCTTGACGCTGTGGCGCGCTGCTGCGGCGATGGTGAATCTAGACTCGATATTCCAATGCCTTTTCTTATTGTCGGAGTACCTCGAGATGTGAACGGAACGCTGGCACAACAAGCGGCAGACTGCTGCCGGCTTCAAGTCGATTCTACACTTCTATGTCGCTAGCGTGACGGAACGTTTGAAAAGCGCTGAAGCGTCAGTGGGACGCTGCCCGCCCCAAGTATGAACACAGTCTCACATAATAGTGTAACGGGTAGGACTTCACCTTTCTAATCTTAACTTGCATAGGAATGCTGATGCCATATTAATCAAAGAGAGCTTAAAGGCAGTTGGCACGATAAATGGCTATACAGGTGTATTAGGTTGTCCGGAAAGTTCTTAGCGTTTTGGGTGTTTAACTTTAAACGATCATAACTTTCTTAACACTCATCGGATTTAATCCAAATAAGCACCATTCGAATCAGCACACTTTTGCCAATGTGGCAGCAGTCGAGAAATCCCATCAAAGAAAAAACTGGGTGGTCGAGAATCCACGAAATCTGCGAAGGTCTTTTTTGCCTGGTCTTAATTGATGAAGTATTTTTCAGCAAGGAAGTTCTGAAAATGTCTGAAAAGGTGACAGTCGGTTGGTGAAAGGTCTAGAGAATATGGTGGGTGAGGTAGAACTTCAACTCCCAATTCGTTCAATTTATGGATAGTGATTTGTGAAACGTGTGGGCGGGCGTTGTCATGCAAAAGAATCGGACCCTTTCTTTTGATAAGTGTTGGCTGCAGCTGACAATATTTTCGGTACATTTGGTCGGTTTGTTCACAGTAGGGTTCTGCTGTGATGGTTTGTGGTGATGAAAAGTTATAGTGGATTACAACAGCCGATGACCACCAAACCTGACCAGAATTTTTTTTTCGCGAGGGTTCGGCTTTGAAAATTACCTCGGTGGTTCCTCCAAATCCAACCACTGTCCGGAACGTCTCCTGTTATCATACATGATCCATTTTTCATCACAGGTGACAAATCCGTTCAAAAACGGGTCAATTCTTTTGCGCAAAAGCAGTGAAGAAGGAACCTCGAGACGTGCCGATTCCTGCCGGTCACTCCGATTGTGGGGCACCCAATTGTCGAGTTTTTTCACCTTCCCAATTGCGTTCCAGACCATGCAACAGTGGATTTGCCAAGGCCTAGCTCTTCTGCTATCTCTCGAACTGTTTGGGATGGGTCAACCTTCAAAATCCCCCTAAAATCCTCGTCAGATATTGCTTTAGGTCGACCGCTATGAGGCTCACCTTCAAGGCTGAAATCTCCAGAGCGAAATTTATTGAGCCATTGCCGCACAGTGCTTTCTTTAGCACTATTGGGCCCCCACACCTGGTTAATTTGTTGAGCTGTTTCGATTGCGGATTGCCCCAATTTATAGTCGAAGAAAAAAATCGTCCGAAGTGCTCTTTTCACATGCTTGAAAAATCTTGAAAAAAGGGGTTTATCAAGCAATGGTGAAACGGCAATTATACCATCAGATAGCGCAAGAAATTCTCTACAGGATGTGCTACTGAGAAGCAAGGCAGAATGAGTTTTTAATCAGCAGTGAATGTACAAAAATAGGTGCACAAAACGCTGAGAACTTTCCGGACAACCTAATATTTGGTACAACTTGGCTTAACAGAATTCCGTGACCTCGGACAGGCGCTGCGTGAAGCCTTTTCCAAGGAGGGTACCTCTATAACGCCCTATTGAGCAACAACTTTACGTCCCAAACGCCTTCCTTGCCCGCCCGCCCACAAACGGACGACCGTTTCTGACGCTCTTCGGCTTATATTCATTCATTTGCTGAGCAAATTATGAAGCAAAGGGATTGGTATGAAGCGGCGGTGATGCTGCATGCATATATGGGTACACATATGCAGCCGTATCTTCGGTAGCGGTGATTTGGTAAGATGCCTACGGGAAACTCGTCCGAAATCGATTTACAAGTCACTGAGAACGAAGGCTTTTTCTTCGCCGGATTTTGACCGTTTCACTCCGTTCTTTCGCCATTTCCCCACTATATAGCTCCCTACTAGCATTTTAGGCGAAGTAGGAAACCATCGTGCCAACTGCCTTTAATGTACTGGTGTCGAGTAAGTTGCTGGTTGAGATTCATTTCTAACAATATTAGTTATGTACACAAATGATCACATCAACAACTGTATTTCATCTACTCATCCTCCTTTGAAGACGAAATCCGTGGCGAAAATTATTCGATCTGGCAGTAGCCTGATCATCGGTCGGTTGGTCTGCGCGCCAGCAGGTACAGGTAACGGCAGATATACGTGCGAGCGCAACACTTCAGAAATGATCGAGAAAATCTGAAAAGAGTACGTATTAAATGGTTCTGGAAAGTGCTATTGGATGTGACCCATATGGTCAGTCCGTTCAGCCTTAACTAGGCCTGGACAGGTGAAAGGAATAAATAATTGCTTCGAAAGCTACCTGATCATTGTACCTGGAGGTGAAGTGATCGTTAATATTCACGATTTCTGACTTCAGTCGGAAAAGAATTGCCAGGTTACTGCTGAAATAGTTAGCAATAGTAATAGTTTTGTTCATAAAAGAGAAAATCAAAAGTATCACAACTACAAAAGGTACAAGTAGAAGCGATTAGGAGGCAGAATGGTTCCGTCTCTCTGTGCGCGTGAAACTTTCAGGCAAAAGTAACGCACACGCTTCAGTTTCCGAAGAGAGTAATGTAATGCTTGTGCTTCTAAAGACACGTTCCCTGATTACCTGGCAGGTAGGAAAACTCCGCGCAGAATTGGTCCGGTCGACCGTCGCGGAGCCAGCGCTACTTTAGCGGCTCAATAGCGATCATCATGTAAAGATGCCATACATCTTTTGAGATAGTACCCACCCACGAACTGGTTACTACACCCAGTGATGGGTGCACTGCGTCAGTCTCCGCCGTGGCGAAACTGAAGGGGGGGGGACCATACGCATCAGGACCCACTCGCAGAGGTGACCGATGTGTGTTGTCTCAGGTCAACTAGGACTAGGAAATACAGTGAGTTCCCTGCAAATAATGTGCCGCGTAATGGAGGTGGGGCTCGGAGTACAGAAAGTGCAGATTTCCCGCCAGCCGCAGCGGGCTCAAGACGGCGTCATTGGCGGGGAAAAGACCGTCCTGGCTGCGCTCCAGCCCGCGCAGCGTCACATACCCTGTCGTTTGTAGGGATCATGACTGTACTCTGCTGGACTGCGCGAGATGTCGTCACTCAAATTTATCATTATTTGCAGGGAACTCACTATATTTCCTAGTCCTAGTTGACCTGAGACAACACACATTGGTCACCTCTGCGAGTGGGTCCTGATGCGTATGAACCCCCCCCCCCTTTCACTTTCGCCACGTCGGGACTGACGCTGTACACCCATCACTGGGTGTAGTAACCAGTTCGTGGGTGGGTTTTATCAAAGTTTCCGAATAACTGATGGCATTTCGTCTACACCGAAAAAGTGGTGTAAGGCCTGTTGTAGTCGTAACAGGCCCTCTCTTGTAGCCCTGAGATATGAAGTGTGCACACTTAAAGATGGCCGACGTCGCGCTCATGTCTGTGTGGGATCGCTTCACATCTATGTGAGAATGTGTCTGACATTTTACCCACTTTTTATCTTTTCCTTTGCCTCTTGTTTCTCGTCCTCGCTCATGGTTCGCTTTTCAATTTTGCCTTCTTTTTGTCTTTTGACCCGACATCAATCAGAAACACAGGGCCTTATTCAACACTTTCTCGACAGTCTGTTTTTTTTCTTCGTTAGTAATTCGAACAATATCTACAGCTTCAAATTTGGACCCACTACCGACGTGTTCCAATTCCGGAATATGTCTTTAACACGTTCCGGACCGACGCGCGAAACGGATCATCTGTGCTTTGGAGTGTATTCCTTTCCCAATTTTTGTTTTTCTTTGCTTCTAATTATGCAGGGGCAACTACGAGCGAGGAGGCGACGATGAAAAAATTACCTATGGAGAATTGAAACGCTGTAGTTTTTCGAGAGAAGCCTTTCGCGCCCGTCTTCGAAAGTCAATATGAGAGCCAGCATGATGTTGGCTGTATTCAGAGCTGAAAAAGAATCAATCAATCGCATCGACTCATCGCCAAAAAGCATCGCATGCAGTTCGTTCACTCATACCTTCCATATTTTTTACGGACATTGCTGCACTGAGACAGACTACGTGGACCATCTCGTCGTCCACTGTGATGTTCCTGCAATGAAAGACATTACAATGGATGAGCTTTCATTGCTCGATATGTTCTGTTGTGGTTGCGCCATGCTTTTTGTTCTTCAAACGCTCATCAGCATTAGTTTTCACAGGGCTCGCCCTACGTTGGGGAATCCCCAGCGGAGGGTGGTGATCGGTCGCTGGAAGGGGGGAGTCGTACTCGCTCGTCGTTGGAAGAGAGAGATAGGGGTCGTATTTCCGTTCGAGGGAAATCCGCCTGTTGTGACGCTGTGAAAGAATTTTCCGGTTATCGCAGTTCTTCACAATTTACTGGTTCTTAAGCCCCCCCCCTTTCCCTCCCTCCAACCCCTCTGCGCCCTCTCA